TGAGTCATTGTATCGAAAGGAATTGGCAGATACAGAAGAATTTAATGAAATAGCATTTGAGCCAGAGCCTATGGTGATGAAGGAAGAAGTTCAAGCTGCTTTGAAGGAAATACCAAAAAATAAGGCCCCTGGAATAGACGGTATACCAATTGACATATTTCAGCTAACAGACGCTGCCGTGAATGTGCTCACCAAGTTGTGCCAAGAAATCTGGAGAACAACCACTTGTCCAACTGACTGGAAGAGGTCTGTATTTGTTCCCATTCCAAAGAAGGGCAACCCAACTGAGTGTGGAAACTACAGAACAATATCATTGATTTCACATGCAAGCAAGATTCTACTGAAGATTATCCAAAAACGACTGGAACAGTACATCAGCAGAGAACTGCCAGAAGTCCAGGCTGGGTTTAGAAGGGGTCGTGGTACTAGGGATATTGTAGCTGATGTTAGATGGATCTTAGCTGAAAGCAGATAATACCAGAAGAATGTCTATCTGTGTTTCATTGATTATGCAAAGGCATTTGACTGCATGGATCATAACAAACTGTGGCTGACTCTGAGAAGAATGGGAATCCCAGAACATTTAATCGCGCTAATGTGAAACCTATACTTGGACCAAGAGGCAGTCATCAGAACAGAGCAGGGCAACACTGCATGGTTCAAAATTGGGAAGGGTGTATGTCAGGGATGTGTCCTATCTCCATACCTTTTCAACCTGTATGCAGAGCAGATTATCTGAGAGGCTGGGCTCTATGAGGAGAAGCATGGCGTTAGGATTGGTGGACAATCTATCAACAATCTGTGTTATGCAGATGACACAACTTTGCTCGCTGAAACTGAGGAGGACCTCATGCACTTGCTGCAGAGGGTCAAGGACTGCAGCTTTCAGTATGGACTGAGGCTCAATGTCAAGAAGATAAAAATTCTCACCACCGGACCAATCAGTAGCATCAGGAGGAATGGCGAAGAGATTGAGATTGTTCACAGCTTCAGTTTGCTCGGCTCCACAGTCAACCCTCTTGGCACTAGTAGCCAGGAAATAAAAAAACGTATTGCGATGGGAAAGTCTGCGGTTAGGGACCTCTTTAAAGTACTCAAGAGCAATGGTGTCTCTCTGGAGACTAAGGTGCACCTGATACAGGCCATGGTTTTTGCAATCACTTGTTATGCATCAGAGTTGGACAATGACTAGGGAGGATAGAAGGAGAATTGACACCTTTGAGCTGTGGTGCTGGAGAAGAGTATTGAATGTACCATGGACTGCCAAGAAAACAAACAGATTCATCGTAGAGAGGGTTAAACCAGGCTGCTCCTTGAAGGCAAGGATTCTGGGGCTTTGCCTGACATACTTTGGACATGTTGTAAGGAGAGACAGGTCTTTAGAGAGGGACATCATGCTGGGTAGAGTAGAGGGACAGCGCAGGAGGGGAAGACCCTCTATGAGGTGGATTGATTCAGTGGGGTAATCGGGATGGGTGTGTCAGAGGCAATGAGATTGGCACAGGATAGAGCACGGTTTAGGGCTGTTGTACATAGGGTCACTATGAGTCGCAAATGACTCGACAGCACATAACAACAACAACAACAGAAGAAAAAGGGGGAAAATTTCTTTATGATTTCTTCCATCCTCTTATTTCTTCATCATCTCCCATATTTTTTTTCTACCCATTACACCTCTTTTCATGGCCTTCATTTCAGTAAATGTTGTACAGTTGACAAATTAAGCAATCCATGAGTCATTCTTGATTCCTTAACCCAATCCACAACTGGACATTTTCACTTTTACTTCCTAAGTATACTCCGATCTGTCTTCTTCATGGCTACCACCCAACCAAGGCTGCTGTCATCTCAGTCCCATATTACAATAAATACCTCACTGCCCAACCCACCGATTTCCTGACCAGATATCTGCCTGTAAAAATCCACTAATGGTAACTGGAATGGGGTGTCCTATCCCTAGGTGGGATCTTGCATCCATAAGAGACATTCCTGGAAAAGGCAGCAGAATGTGAATCATGCTGGAGACTGGTTATTAGCAATATTCCAATGTTGGTTTCACACAGTCAGCAAGTATAATGTGCCTGATAAGATGTTAACAGCAGGGGAAAGTGGGTGAGGGGCATATGGGAACTTTCTATTGTGTCTTTGCAGCTTTTCTGTTAATATAAAATAATTTCATCACACAGTTTAGTTAAAAAAAATCCTTTAGTAGCTCTTGTTCTTCAATGATAGAGTCCAAAAACCTTAACATGACCAGCATCCTCTCCCCAGCCAGACTAAACTTACTAATTAATTTTCTCAGTGAGATAAGCTGCTTCCTTGCCTCCAAAGAGTCAGTGTCTGGCCCATTAATAAGTGCTTGATAAGTGTTTGTGGGACAATTAACATTTTAAAAATGAGGCAGCATAGCTAGGGCACTGCAGGATTGCATATTTAAATCTACAGACTAGGAAGTTGGTAAGAGAGCTCTTACGGCTGTGTGGTAAGAAGCTAAGCCGCAGTTCTGAAGGTGCATGGTTCAAATCCACCAGCTGTTCTGTGGGAGAAAGGGAATTTGATTCTCCCATACTTTTAACTGCCTCTGAAAACCCACCAGCTATGGGTTGGTTCCGACTCGATGGTACACAACATGAAATTTGTAGCTTGATAGATTTTGGGAACCTCAGTGTTAACCTGTTGTCTTCAGCAGGATTTGGGGCAGCCTAGGTTGTATTGAGTTGATCCCCCTCCATCTTGGTCTCAGCTCTCCTTTCCTCTGCCCTCCCAGGCTGCCATCCTTGAAACTCTATACCAGCCCTTCCCTCAAGCACTTTCTCCCATATAAATGCATACAATTGTTTAGCCATTCCGGTGTTAATTGCCCAATTTGCCCAGGCCTACTAATAGGAAATGTGCATCTGTGTTGGCGGGAGAAGTAAAAAGGGCCTTTTCTGCCCATCCTCACACTGACCTCTCACACATCTGCTCTTATCTCATTTTGTGAACAATTTAACAGTGACCACTCTGAGCAAAGGCCTGGTAGTCCTTTTCTGAAGAGTCAGTCTTTGGAAACCCTCTGAATACAGCTCTGTGGATACACACACGAGCTTGTCATCAGTCAGAACTGACTCCATAGCAAACTTCTCCCATGGCAAAGTACTGGTTCCTTAAAGGTCTAAGAACGAGAGTCACCGCAATGGCAGGAATGGCAGACCATGTAAGAGGAACCGCGTTAGGCTGCCAGATGGCGAGGGAGACAGGTGCAGGAAAGCAGGTTTCTAACTGAAGCAAGGCAGGAGATCAAGTGTTGTAATCACATTTGAAAATAGGAGTCAAGTGACCCTCATTAACCATTACAGAACCCGGTTAATATATCCCTACTGATTACTTGGATTTAAATTTAACCTGGGACAAATCCTTCTCATGCTCCGTTCGTTGCCAATACATTATGTCCTTTCTCCTTTAAGGCTACCATGCTTAAAATGAGAAAAAAACCCAACCCCAAGGCAAACTCGTTGCCTTGATTCCAAGGTGATTCTAATTCATGACAATGATTATTACTAATTAGTCTAGATCATCATTTGACATATGATGTCATAGAATGCCATCCTGACTTTCGGATGAGCAAGCTTCTCCTACACCCTAGCTGCGTACATCCTGAAGATGTCAGCAGGCAGAGTGGACATTTGAAATTGGTCCCCAAATATCTATTGTGCTCTCCCACCATCAACATAGGTTTACCTGCTGCAAACTTCACATCTCTACAGACCACGTCTTACTGACGTTCAAGGTGGGAAATTAGATTCTTATCCTGGACTTTGCAGGAGGGAATCTGGTGGAAGGAATGTGACGGCGTGTCTGGGCACTGTAGAATGCTTTTGTCTTCTCATCGTGTTTTTGGAATGACAGAAATTTTGTTTTTGAATTTTACTGGGGAACAAATGTTTTGAATGTTCTCCACTTGCAGCCTGACCTTCAGCAGCAGTTTGGTGTGCTTACTCCAAAATGAGAGACAGAAGAATTTAATACATTTAATGCTTCTCCTTCCATTTACACTATCATAAATTACAAATATTGTTCACTTCACAAAATAAAACCATTTCCAGATAATTTTTGACAGTATCAAGAAGTACATAGGCTACAGCAAACAAATCTGTACAGTTGGGAGGAAGAGTGATAGCAAGAACCAAGCAGGTGCATTTCGACCCTTGGGTACCATGGAGGCTACATCCCCATGGCCCTGAACGGCCCAGGCCAATTGCATGCCTCCTTTCAGCAACATGCCACATACCCAGGAATTCTCTTCTGGTCACTCCAACAAAAAACTAGGGCAGTAATCACACGATCATCTCAAACAATCAGAGGAAAAGACATTGCAGTTGAAAGAATTTTTTTTTTAAATTTACAGCTTTGATGCCTTCAATATCTCAACTATCTTACAAAAGATAGAACTTTTGGTTTGAAAAGATCATGCTAAGATAAGAGAATGGAACAAGAGTCATAAAATCATATTAAATTATTGTCCACAGAGTTGCTTTTATCAAGGAGAAATAAATATTTGATAAGAACCAGACTTAATTCTTGCTTTCAAAATGGGCTTGTTATAAAATGATTAAAATTATGTCAACAAAACAATTATTCTGCAGATTCACTTTTATAAATAAGCCAAATTTTGATTTGCCATTAACAGATGAATTCAGAAACCTTGCCTTAAAACAAGAGGAATGATGCTAACTTGTTACAAGGTCCAGTTATATCCAGTGTCCCCCAAATCATTGTACATTAAATTCCTCACATTCAGCAAGTTCCAGGACACACACACACACACACACTCACTCTCTCTCTCTCTCTCTGGGAAGACTAGGATCAATTCTGAAACATATTTTGAGAATTCACAAAATTTTTCTGAAAAGACAAGATGTGGCAATGTCAGGACATCCTACAATTGCTATAGACATAAACTGTACAGTGAGAAAATGCTTAAGAGCAAATATTTATCAAAAGCAGGTATGCCAGTGGCAGGTGAAATTTCATTTCAAAGCACTGCTAACAACAGAGGTATGTCAAGATAATACTGCATTCGTGGTAAACGTTTCTAGGACATCACAGAAAGAAGGCAGGACAAGGGACATGGGAATAATCAATGCACTGCATTGAGTTCTATTTGCTAAAATAAAATAATCTTGCAGCTAAAATAAAAATACATTTTACAATATAAGTTTCATTTAACATTTAACATAGAATTGTCTTTTCTTTTTGTAAGTGGAAAATGTATAACTGTATCAAGTACCTCTAAGAATTAAGTTCCCTTTTATTACTGATAAGACTGAACTTTAAAGATTTACATTGGGGTTGTTTTTTTTTAATAAGTTAAAGAAAGATTTATTAATCACTCTTCCAGTAACACAGACATACATACGAGGCACAGCAAAAGGCCCCAGGTGAGGGGCTTCTTGCCCTCACCCCTGCTCTCAAGTGGAGGAGGTGTGTGTCTATAAGACACAGTACCCGACTTGGCAATCCTCTGCAGTACAAGAAATTCTGTCACTTGCTTGAAAAAACAAATCAAGCATAAGAGATGTTTTTATTCCGTTCGCCTTATCAACTTTGTCAGGGCTGGGGCCATCCAGCTCATTTCCCTGATGGATTAAAACAAAACATCTTCATTTTCTATTAAAATCTGCACAATCAGCTTTTGGTACCGCATGTCATGGAGAGTGGTCAGGGTGCTGTCTTCAGGGGGCCTCATCAGGGTGGGCCCAAACACAATGCCCAGGTTTTCTGCACTCATGAAATTGTCTTTTTCATTCATGGTTACCCTGCCAAGGCAAGCACAGACACAGACATGATATAGACTTGTTATATACTTATTATGTACTTTGGTCTCTAACAACTTCTCAGGCTTAGGAAATGGCAAAAGAAAAATGAATAAGAATTACAGGAATAGGAAGTATCTAATGATTTCTCGCTCTCTTTTGGATAGATAATCACTAAGTGAATTACTGCAAATTAGAATCCAAAACATATTAGAATCTAAGTTATATTCACTCTTCAAAATTAGAAAAGAAAAAAACCTCATGCATCAATATGTAAATATCATTTAAATAATTTTGGTTTGAATAATGCAGAAGATTATTAGCCAGCATGTGTGAATACATATTTCTAGGTGACACAGACAGATGATCTCTTGGTTACTAAATTAACGGCTGGCTGTTCAGACTATCCAGAAGTACCTCAGAAGAAAGGCTTGGCTAATTACTTCTGAAACATAACAGCTAACACCCATTGGCTCCCCAGCTTACCAGTGCACACACAGACAGGAAACAGCATGAAAGAGGGAAAGACCAGCTGCCACTGAGTCATTTCAATTTATGCTGACCCTATGTGTTTCAGAGTGGCTTCCTGTCTCTTGGTGGAACTGGTGACAAGACAGAAGGGTTAATGGTAGAATTAAGCTACCATGGGGTTAGTAATAGCTAGACCATTATCATGGAAGAGGGTGTGGCTGGACTGTGACCAAATGGGAAAGCAGTTGTGCATTATTTCTAGTTCCCACAGGATGAGGTCTGGAGCAGTTATTATTGTTGAAATTGAAAAGTCATCATTTTCAACATCCTGATAAAATGCAAAGACTTTAAGAATAAAATTCAAGCTCCAAAGATGAATTAAGATCTTGGAGGAATAAAGTTCAATATTTTACTTTTTTGTCTTCTGAAATTCAGGTTTTGGAAAGTGTTCCTAATATATCTACAAAGGAGTAGGTTCTTCAAGGAAGAGAAAACTCTAAGGAAAACATATTCAGGTTTTACACTGAGGCCACCTTTTGTATCTATTCTCCTGGAGGAATTTGGGTTGGCTATTTTGCGTTCCGTAGGAAGATCAACTCAGGTTTCATTATTTTCATGATGAAAAGCTAAGAAGAAGATAGGAAAGAGGACATTTCTTTGTTAACAAGTATCTCCCTGTGGAGTTTACCTTTCAATATGATTTTCCTGGCTATTGTCTAACTTTGCCATGTAGATGGACAGGAATATGCAAATGGAGTGTGTTAACCTAGCCATAAAGGTTGGCTAGTCTTGCCATTAAATTGAGCAATCCAGCAACAGGAGGATTAGACCTCCCTTGTCAGCAAAGCAGCAGCAGTACCAGAAGTAGGAGAATGTAACATGTCTTTGGGCCCAGAAATTCATGCACCAGCTACACCTATGGCAGCAGCAGCTATCCACAGTCAAAGTAAAGAACTGATGTGACTTGGGACCTTGGGACTGCTCAAGCCTGAGGTGCCTGCAGGCACATTTTAGAAGCCACCCTGACTGTGTTCTATACTGGATTATAACCTTTGACTGCCCCAATACGGTTCTGTGTGGTTTGTGAGCTATCACATTAGATTTTGGACCCAGTGCAACTCAATGGCACATAACAACAACAACAACAACAATAAAGCAGTAAGATTTGAGTTGAGATGAGGAGAAAAAGGTATGGGAGTGTGGGTGACATGTCTGATCTCATGGGAATTGGTTTTGTTTTACTGATGCTATTGAAGGGGACAGTTCACATCTGTGAAGTTGGTAAATGACAGACATGGCTGTCCCCACATGACCTTTGCTCTTTTTACAGTTAGTCTCAAAAGTGGGATTCAATGTGATGGCCCCAGATTCATGGAAAAGTGGGATTTTGTAAGTAGTTATGGGTTTGAGAAGTGCAGTTAAAATGGCTACTTTTGCAGTGCCTAAAATGGAGGGAAAGTTAAACTATTTTTGGTCAGAAGCCATAATGCACATGAAAGGGATAAGGGTGGAGAATGAAGCTGGAACTATTAAGTCCTTGAAAGTTTTATGGCTAAAATTTTTGTTGATTTAACTTTATGAATATTGGGTTTTCCCCAACTATTAGTGTTATGATATATTGCATAAATAATTAAGGGATTTTAAAAATATTTAATGTTAAGGAGAATGATATAAGTGAATACCAGGTATTGTAAATCTTGAAAGTGCATAAGTCAGCCCTGGGTCTAAGGCTCACACGGATACCCAAAAAGGGAAGATCTGCCATGGAGAAAGACTTGTTGTAAGCAATAGAACTAGAGGGTATGGGGCTTAGCTTGGGGGAGGATTAAGCCCCACCCAGTACTCTGATGAGATTTGGATTTAAATGGATTTATAGACTCTCATTGGACTTTTGATTGAGAAGATATACATTTGGAAAAAGAAAGAAAATGGGACTTTGATTTTTTAAAACTGGAACAAAGTTTGGCTTCTGAGACAGGTTAAGGTTGGTATCCATCAGAACCCCTCTCCAGGACTCGCAGTTAAAGGGAGCTGATGAGTATGGTCACTCATGGTGATCATCTGGAACCACTGGAGTGGAATTAAGAGGCATGCAACAGTGAAGAGAAGGGCTGAGTTAGGATATGTTCCATCAGCAATATTGGCTTGGCATCCACATATACATGGATAAATGCAAAAAGGTTGCTGGCTTTGAGAAGCAGAGAGTCATGAAGACTCCCATCTTTTTTACTTGGCCTCACATGGAGGCTAAGACTGTGAAGGAATGAATTAGTCTGGAACACAAGAAAAAGTGTGGACTCCTGTGCTTGTAGCTGATACTCTTATGGACCTAGCCATGGACAGCTTGAGTTGACCAGTACCCAAGAATATGTTCCATGCTGTGAACTAATGTTGATTGCTGCAATTTCATGGTTTGCTCTTGACTGGACTTTGCTTATGGATGCAGATGCTAAAAAGTTCTAATTGGAACAGATGATTTCTCAGAGTATTGGTTTGACAGGGATGGGCAAATCAGAAATTTGCCATCTAACACAGGGGAGATTAAAGCATGAAGCATGACGTTGCTTACTTACTAATATAGGTGCTTTAACTAATATAGTTATTATAGAAAAGTTAATTATTCATATACGGATGTTAATGGTTAGAAAAGCCATAGGGTGGCTTACCTTTCAATAAGACTTTCCTAGCCACTTTTTGACTTTGCTACATAGATAGGTGGGAATATGTGACTGGGACACGTTAGCCTATTCACAAGGTGAGTGGCTATCTACCAATCCAGAAGGGAATTGGCTAGTCTCACCAATCCACAAAGGGCTTGGCTAGTCTTGCCATTAATTTGAGAATCCAAACTAAGAAAAGAGGGGATAAATAATGAACACTGCATTAGAACAGATGAAAGACACAACAGCTAAGAAGGAATATATGATTAGGCATTATTTGTATGACAATAGTCCAGAATAAGAGGTGCATAACAAAGCGGTCTGGGGGCGAAGGGAGGGAAGAAATTATGCAATTATGCATCAATGAATGAATATATATAAATGCTGTTGTTGTTAAGTGCTGTTGAGTCGTAAGTGACTCATAGTGACCCTATGAACAAAAGTCCTCAACACTTGTGTGACTTTCATCCTTGCTCCAGGTTCATAGGGTTTCCAGATGCAAGCTATTTACAGAAGTGGATGCCACTCCTGCTTTCAAGCATCAATTATGCATGAATGAATGAATATATATATGCACACACATATATATTTACTAATATATATGTATATATATTAATTATTAATATATATTAATGTGAACGGGGGTGTAGGGAGGTAAATGTGCAACAATGAAGGAATAAAAATCCAACTTTGCTGTGAAATTTCATTAAAATCACAATAAAAATAAATAAAAATATTATAATCCAGCAGCCAAAGAATTAGATGTCTGCTAACAAAGCAGCAGCAGCAACAGCAGGAGAATGTAGTATGTCCTTTGGTCTCAGAAATTCTTTTTCCTGCTACACATATGACAGCAGAAGACATAGCTGAACCAGAGACCTGATGTGAGATGGGACCTTAGAACTGCTACACCACTCAAACCAGAGCTAAAAACCTTTGCTTAAGTTTGTTGTACAATTGGGTGTGAGAGGCCATAATTTTCAGGACTGAGAACTTTGTAACACTGGCCTAAAGCCATGAGGCTAAAGGCTAAGGTGCCTACAAACACATTTTAGAAGACATCCTGTCTGTATTCTGCTACTTAGCTGGATTATAACCTCTTGACTTCCCCAATATGGTTCTCTGTGGTCTGTGAGCTATTGCATCATATTTTGAACCTAGTAAAGCTGTAAGATTGGTGGTTGAGGTGAGTAGAAAGACCTATGGGAATATGGGGGGGACTTATCTGACCTCATGGGAATGGATTTTGCATTACTGATGCTGTTGAAGGGGACAGTTCCCCTTTGTTAAGTCAGTAAAGGTCAGATGTGGCCATCCCCACATGATCTTTGCTCCTTTTACACTCTCTAATAAGCCTCTGGAAAGATTTTCTAGTTCTGTATTTTGGTAACGTTTTTGAGTCATTTTATCCTGGAGGGTTTTTTTTTAAGTGATTTAATATTATCTGCTGTCTCTGAGACAGTGTGAGAAAACCAATTGGAACAGATTCATATAAATTAGAACCTGACTTTGCAAGGTGGCCAGCTAAGTCACCACAGTAGAAATACTAAATTATTAGCATCTACTGTTCAGCTTGAAGATTTTAGTGGTTTTCCTAACAATGAGTCTTTGTCTTACAAACCATAACATTGGATATTGGTCATGTCTAAAGGTATAATTTTATGAACAATTAAAAATCCAGTCTCACACTCATAGTATAATAGTTTTTTTAAAAATGGCTTGTGCTCTAAGTCCAAGAAATGAAATTGTTGTTAGACGTTGTTTGGCACTGTCAAATTGATTTGAACTCATGGTTACCTCATATGTGACCATAACTATCCCTTCAGATTTTCTTGGATGCAGTCTTTATAGAAGCATACCACCAGGCATTGTTCCTGTAGAGCTATTCTGTAAGTCCCAGTCACTAGACAATTAGTTATGTGCTTAACTACTGTGACAACACCAAGGGTTGGTATAAATGAGATTAGTTTTGTTTTTTAATTGACTAACTGAATTGAAATTGGAATATCCCAAGCTAAAAAGGATTTAGCTTCCTGCATCCAACAAACAGTATTCATACATCTTATTAAGAAAATTTGGGAGCTCTGGTGGTTGAGAGAGTAAGGAGTTGCACCAAGTCAAAGAAAGGAAAGTAGTTCAAACCCACCATTGCTGCAAGGGATAAAAATTTCTTCTCATGTGATGTATAGCCTCTGAAAACATGCTGGAGCATCAGCTATGAGTTGGTTCTGACTTTACAAGAATGAATTAAGCTGATAATGAAAAACCTTAACACCTAATGATTGTACAGCACTTCCAACTTGCTTCCTACTGAATTATCTGATTTAGAGGACTTAACGGTTTGCAGGCAGCAGGCAGCTTACTTCTTGAGGTGGATCATTAGATATCGGAGAGTCTCATAGTGGGCAGGAGGCAGCAGCATCAGCACTTCGTGGACTGCTTCCAACCTCTCATCTGCATTGGGGATTTCTGTGAAGTTGATACACATCAAATACCAACAGTGAGTTATAACATCACATTGAGGTTTTCAGGTAACAAGACATTTGGCATGCTTATTTGCAATGGATGCGGAACTCTAATAAATTTACTCAACTCTAAATAGTACTTTATTTATTCACTTTACCTGTGTCTTGCCTCATTCTAGACAGTTTGAGAGTCAGAACCACACAGCCACTGAACCAATGATGTGGGGGATGGTGGTGTGAGCTGGACACAGGTCATGCCCTCCAGGAATTTGCAGCCTGGTACCTTATTGTCTGGTGGCACACGTATAAACTGTGTTTTGCCCATCTTCTGAATGCTGGATCAACTAGAAATTTCACTAACACAAACCTCAATTTAAACTCTACCACATTTGGCAGCAGTAAGTTGCAGTTGTCTGACAATTATTTTCCTGGCAACCCTCCATAATTGACTATCTGATGGAATGCAAAAGCTCTGGCAGATGAGGCAGCCAATTCAGATGGCGTGAATGTCACGTTTCACTAAAGTGCTGGCATGGGTAACATGGTGTACAGCCCATACTAGAAAGTAGATGCCAGGCACACGGACAATGTAAGGAAGTTTGTGTGTGCTTCTGCCCTTTTGGGTCTCTGATAGGTTCTGGCTGCTGCTCAAATCCTTCCCTCATGCCTGCTGGTGGAAAGGACAGTGCCCAGCTGCTAGATCTTTCCCTGCCTTGGTTTACCAGGCCCTGGAAGGAATGGCCTTATCAGGGAAGAGGCCACAGCTCCCTTGGGAAGTCCTCCTTGCACTAATCACTGCCTGCTCAGTATCTTCCCATCAGGTATATCATGACTATTTAGCAACATAGACATAAGACTTCCAAACCCTGTCCTATCCTGAGCCAATCTTACTGTCTCTGAGATCCCATTACCCTAATCACTGTGTCAATCCCACTCCTCTAGGGTCTTCCGCTCTTGTGCTTTCCCCTCTACCCTTCCAAGCATGATGCCCTTCTCCAAGTATTATTATTTTTTTTTTTCACTTGTTGTATACCATCAGATTGGATCCAACTGGCACAGGAGGAGATTGCCCCTCCCTCTCCAGGAGAGCATCTGGTGGATTCGAACAGCACGCTTTTGGGATTGTAGCGCAGCTTCTTGCCACTAGGCCACCAGAGCTCCCTAGTAGTAGTATATTTAAATAATAAACTAAGTTCAATTTCTCTATCATGCATCTTAGCATCAGCTGTTCAGATATGGAGGATTACCAGTAGAGTAATTATTAGCCAACTGTAAGATAATGCTATAAAATATTCTTCCTTGCTCTTGTTGTTCCTAGCCAGTGTGTAGCCCCCTCCTTCTGCCTCATGGTCCTCTCACTGCCCTGACAGCTGGGAGCCAGGTGATCCCTGCTGATGTCTGGCTGCTGACAAGCAAACTTGGGGTGAGTGAAGGATGACACAGATGCTCCCTTTCTCGACTGTGAGCTCAGCTCTCTAACCTGGGCTTTCTTCCTCAGTAAAATGGGGGTGATATTTGCTGACTGGGTAGATGAGAAAACTGTACTAGAAGACAACGGCGAGGGCTCCTGGTTTAGGACTTGACACAGTACACTCTTAACCTATTGTTAATTTTGAACAGCATTCATGGGAGAATCTTGGGATGTGACATTCACTAATTAGGAATGAGGTTCTAACAGATGAAAGTTAATCTATATAGTTCTCATTGATCAACAGCTGCTTTTTCGCTATAGATATGGTCATATTGTCAATATATGAGAACTAGCTGTGGTGGTTCTCAGCACATAAGGAATGGCACAGACAGCAGGACTGCCTGGCACCCAGCTTCAGCACAGTGCAGTTGGCTTGGCCCTGGTTCAACTTAGCTGGTGTACTCTGCCTGATTTTCTATTAACTGTTTATTGTTTCCTCACTTGGCAAAGCATGCACTTGCAATAATATCAACTGCTCTGAGTGTTCTTTTTCTTGAGGTCAAAAGCATTTTATGTAGAATTTGGTCCAAATAAAAACTCAGCCCTCAATACTTACTTGCTGCTTCTATGAATTTGGAATAGGTGTCATATGTGATGACAGGAATGGGTAAGTCTCTAAAGTATAGTTTTAGGGCTCCAGTGATGATGTTTATGTCTGGGTAGAGGTTGGCAGATATATCTGCCTTTTCACCATCTGCAAAAGAATCAAATGATCCAATTCCTAATTAGTACTTGATTTCACTAAATTAAAGCATACATAGAATTAAGAAACCCCAACAATGAATGCTCCCTTCCAATTCTCAGCTGTTTCAGCAGCTAGTAACACAGAGGCACAGAAAACAAAGCAGTTGGATGAGAACAAGTTTGGTGTCTGAGGGTAAAGTGAAGTCAAGGAGGGTAGTGAGATAGACTTGAAAATAATACTTTGGGTTCCAGGTCCTGATGATTTGTTAAACAAAAATTTAGCACAGTCATTTGTATCACAGATACAAAGGTTAATCACAGGATGACAATCCAATTGGAAACAAAGCGTCAAGAGCTCCTTTATCTCTACCAGTCTCCTTTGGACTTGGACTTGAATATCACACACACAAATAATTTTTGAGTTTCCATTGTCCTGTTCAGACTCACTGAGTTTCCTTCAGTTCAGACACACTGAGTCTTTCCCCTCTCTTATCCCTTCGGATGTTAGCCTGGGAAACTTTGACTTTCTCTCATGTGTGTTGAGAGAAGACCTTTTACAAGATGGGGTGATGCAGAGACTACAGTAAGGGGCTTGAGATGATATTTTCAGGATGATTCATATCTGTTGTTCATAGGGTCACTATGAGTCATTGTCAGTTCACATGGCTTGGTCTTAGCTGCTACAGAGCAGGCCTGTGACTATGGTGACCCCATACACAAGACTACGAAATGCTGCCTGCTTCTGTGTCATCCTCCACAAGTGATGGCAAATAAGACTATGATCCATATGGTTTTCAACGGCTGATATTTTAGAAGTAGACCTGCAGGCCTTTCTTCTGGTACAGCCTTAGTAGGCAAGCTCCACTGAGAACGAGTCAACATCATAGTGATGGAGAAGCCTCCAGTGACAGACAGGTGGTTGCAGTGTTTGAGATGCTCTGGCCAAGAATGAAAACCAGGTATCTTGTAAGGAGGAGGAAATGCTACCACTGCCCATGACTGCCCCCATTCTCTGTGTATAAAGATTCAAAGGTTAATCAGAGGACAACAATCTAATGTCACTTCTTAACATTTCATAACTATCCTCAAGATAATTATTTTTAAAAAGAACACTAGTATCAGTCTAATTTAACTGTCATAGACTGTAACTTTGTTGGATTTAAAAAGTTTCAATCATATTGATTTTCAAAGTTTAAATGAATTGAAAAAAAATTACTTTTCTTTTCTGGTGTAGAATACTATACATTTAGAAAACCTATGTACGTAAAATTTATCTACATAGTCAATAAAAGTAGTTTCATATAAATGAAAAAAGTTTCAATCATATAGGGAACATTAATATCATATTTTAGGTATAGAATTGTAAGAATTAATGCCTCTGCAAATTGGATTCTGAGGATAATATAATAGCACTACCAATATTCAGAAAGCTCTAAAAGCACAGCATATATACAATAAAGATCCAATTATTTAGATACTGAATAAAAGTTTATAGTAGAGAATCTACTATTCATCAGGGGCTGTTAAGCTCTGGTTAATCAAAGGAGAAAGAGTACACTCCCTTCCACAGCTGCTCATGGAAACTAGAAAATTACAAGCAAATGGGGAGATGATTGTTTTGGAGGCATGGGAAAAGCATGGGGCGGGGAGATGGAAAAAAGAAAAAGGAGTTTGTAGACCCGCTGGGTGAGGTCAGAAGGCTTCATGAAAGAGAAGCTGGGTTAGTAGATGGACATGCGGGAGCATGTGCACACATTCCAGAAGGAGGAGATGAGCAGCAACCAGGTGAAACAGACAAGAGAAAAATCAGTATTGCTTGAATGTAAGGCACAGCAAGGGAAGGAACTTGAGCCTGGACAGATGTGGATGGGACTAGGTTACCAAAGACTGCTACTAAGTTGAGACTTCATGCAGGGAGCTAAGGGCTACCTCAGACTTATTTGGATTGTTGTTGTTGTTATGTGCCGTCAAGTCGTTTGCGACTCATAGCAACCCTATGTACAACAGCCCTAAACCCTGCTCTATCCTGTGCCAATCTCATTGCCTCTGACACACCCATCCCGATTACCCCAGTCACTGAATCAATCCACCTCATAGAGGGTCTTCCCCTCCTGCGCTGTCCCTCTACTCTGCCCAGCATGATGTCCCTCTCTAAAGACCTGTCTCTCCTTACAACATTTGGATTATTTATTAGAAATCCAGCCTCTAGGGCTAATCGAGACTTACTGAGTGGCCAAGATGGAACCTGGTGATCTGTATTTATAATGAGTTCTCCAGGTTGCTTTAGAATATTTGACCTCATAAACAACATGGCCAAGAGAAAATCTAGCATAATCATCATGAAGAAAAGGCATTACCTCTTACATGTCTGCTTGCTTTTACTACTTCAGTGCTAGGGATGCTAATTAAGAGCTTTGAGGAAAGGAGAAGAATCCATTAGGATACTGAGATGGAGGTACTTTGGTGCAATGGACACTGATCTTGGGTATTTGGGCAGTCATCTTAAATGGCTCCCAATGCTGGTTGTTCTGCCAAGTTGTCTTCTAAATTCACTCCCCAGTTTGGGAGTTGAACTTTTAAGGCAAACTCAACTTCTCTAGAGAGGACCAACTGCGAGATTCCTGAACCACTCGTTTCCTCTGATTTCACAACTACTAGTGAAACTCCTCTTCCACCATAAAGAAAACCTGGTACTAAAGAGACGGTGTTATGTCTTAGTCAGGTGGCATTAAAGAAGTGGGAACCTACCTCTGTCAAATGCCATTTTGACATCTTCGATGTGTTCCGTGAACCCAGAGACTCTGTAAAGGCCTTCTGACTTTAATCCTGTTAAAAAGAGAGTATGTATGATTCTTTACTGTTAGTCCAAAATATTTAAAAAGAACTTATTTCTTGACTGCACTGAACACTACCAGGAAAAGAGAAAATACACTCACTGATAACACAGATTATAAACTGTCATGTCAGAACTTGGACGAGGAGCCTCTCCCACTTCCAGTGAAAGTCTATCTTCATTGACTTGTGTGTAGCCAACGAAACTTGATCTTTCTGCTTTGCTTTGCAAAGCTGAAGGATATTTCAGGTTCTCATCAACCTTAGTTCTCTTGCCTATTCTTCAGACTAACATGTGAACATTTCATGCCAAAGTAGCTTCCCCCCTTCTCTCTAATGTCATCTTGATCCATTTTCACCATTGTAAACAGCACTTTGTTGTTGTTTTTGCGTGCCCTCAAGACGACTATGACCCTATAAAGAACAGATCTGAACCTTGCCTTATCCTGCATCATCCTCATCATCTGATATGCTCCAGGCTACTTGGCTAAGTCCACACAGATGTATATGTGTTATGTGTGGTACATATTATCCTAATTTATGATGTCTCTCTGTCATCATTCAAATCTATATGCTCAATAATTTGAGGTAGACAGATTTGGAGGCAGGGGAATTGCATTTGGTTTGTCAAGAAGTAGCACATGTTGATTTCTGTTGCATTGCATTGGGTTATTTATACATCTCAATATATTTTAATTTTACAACCAAATTATTAGGTACATATGATTCTACTTTTTAACTGAGGAATAGGGGTTCAAATGGGATAAGTAAGATGTCCATCATCACATATGACAGCCAGTAGGAGACAGGGTTAAGATTCTAACTTAAGTCCATCATTTTTTCTCTGTGCCACATCATACAGAGATAAGGATGCATGAGGGCACATTTGGGGAACAATAAGGAATAGTCTGTGGTTGAGGACAGAATGAGATGTTGATGATGATAGCAACGACAAAGGGAAATTAAGTA